AGGCGGCGGCCGCTCTGGCAGCAGCCATGCCAGGGGCTGGAGGGGCCAAATCTGAAGCCAGAGGCAACGGCCCTCTGCCTGGAGGAGGAGGGCTCATGGAGGAGATGAGTGCCCTGTTAGCAAGGAGGTAGCGACACATCATATATTACTCTTCGATTCAGTACGTCTCAAAATAGGCACTTGAGTCATATGAATGAATTTCAGATCTTGTTTCATATACTACAGAAAAGTGAAACTTGACACAGTTGCCATACAGTAGATTTAGCAAACCCCAATGTTGGTCGCAATGGATTTTGTTGTGCCACCTGAAGAATAAGTTCATGTACTCATCACTCTCACTATTCCTCAGTATTATGAGATGATATGTAGTAAAATCGTAATTTAAATGCACTTTGTTGCTGACAGAGAAGTATCACTGTAAGATCTAGAGAAATCTAAGGAATTTAGGTTTTAAAAATGTGGAGTTCAGGAGGAATTGTGTGGTCTGTGCTTTATGATATTAACATTAAACATGATGATATGTTTTTAAAAATAGCAACTGTTTTTCAGAAATAATTCTGGACTCTGTCTTACAGGAGAAGAATTGCAGAGAAGGGCTCATCACCTGAACCTGACCAGAGATCAGTAAGTACCATTAGATCCTTCTTGTCTGCTGTATTCATGGGGTAGGACTGGATAAGTCTGACTTCTTCCTACTCCATTCAAGCATGTACTAGGTATAAGCAAATTGATATTGGATTAGCATTTGTTGGATATGTGTAAAATTATGTGTGTTGATATATCAACTGTCTTTACATGCTTGAAAGAATAAATCAAATCAAATCAAAATCAATCAAATCAATTTAGTAACTTTGGTCAAAAACTGCTCAGATCCAATTCTAAATGGATATTTTACATGAGAATGCTACATCCAGAAGGTCTCATCCTTGTTTCCTGTGACAGCCTGTTGTTGTTTTGGTGGCTGGTACTGTTTCTTCTTTGATTTGTTGTAACTCTATATGTGTATTTACATGTATATGTACATGTAAAAATGAATGCGTAGTGGATTTACAGCTTGCATAGCAACACTTAGTGTTGATGTTATGCTCTTCAAACAGGTTATGTATTCAGATCTTAGTGGGTAAGGAGTTCATGTGGAACACCTTGGGTTTTGAATTCTTTTGTCCTGATTGGTCTTCACTAAATAGCCTGATTGTTAATGTCTGTAGAATTGCAAGGTATATAAGCTGTACTGACGATGGTCTTTTGACTTAAACACATACAATTTTTCACTATATCACTTTAACGCTTAATAAATTTACTTTTCTGGCATCTGAAGATTCTCCTTGTCGTTTTGACAGTGTGATGGCAATTTGACCACGTGTTTGTTGGTTCTGGCCAGTAAGCTGAAAAGCCAAGTAGCACCTCAGTGATACAAATGTCCTTTAACTTTGAGTTAAAGTTAACTTTGAGTTAAAGGACATTTGTCCACTTTGACCACGAGATCAGAGTGCATTATCTCACCATCCAGCACTATGTCAGACAAGGGAGACCCTGCTATCCAGATGTCTCCCTCTGGATCGTCATTGTTCCACAGCGACAGGTAGTGTCTGCGGCCCAGCTGAAGGGGAACATCACTTTGCAGTACCACACTCCTCTCCATTCCACGCTTCACCAGCACAGGCAGTGAAGTGACATCGTTTATCCGGGACAGGACAGCAGACCTCCCTGCACCACATCTGAGGTTTTCAATGCAAATGTAGCCATGTCCTAGTCTCCTCTCATTGTAAACAAAAGAACACTGCGTGATGCTAATGTCAGTTCCGGTCCTCAGGGTATTTGCGTGCACCAGGTGATTTAAATGAGGGTGAACAAAGCATTTAGCTCGCCAGACTCCGTCAGTGACGATCGCGTCGAAGCTGTAGCTGTCAAGCTGGGGCAGCCCTTCGGTTTGCTCGGATAAATACCTCTGAAGTGCAATGACAGCGACAGGTGGCGCCTCTTCGGTTTTTAATGTCAGAATATGTGTAGAAGATAACCGCTCTAACGTCCTCTGGAGGAAAGATACTTGAGAAAGACCAGTCGCCATCAAAGACGAGTTATCATCCATGCTGGGAAATTACTTTTACTAGTCAACGCTACCCGTTAACCAGTATTGCTGCTGTCACCAGATTATCCCATATTATCTCTTTGGCTAAATAACTAACTTAAGAAAAATAGGTATCTGAATAATTGCAAGAGCAGAGCGATGTTATGAGAGCTACAGTATTCTACCATATAACAGGCGTACTTAATTATCTCAATATTTTGAGAAGAGGCTACTTTACTAACAAAGCTACAATTATCGTTACTACTGGCTAACGGCTAACTGACAACAAACAATCCGGGTGCTGTTTGATTGCGTCACTGTTTGCTTGAACACCAAAACATCCGCAAAGGGACATAAATCCGCTTTATACGTAAGCTATATGCTTAAATTTCTATATATATAACGTTATCACGTCAAACACTGTTTTTTGAGCAAAACCCCATCCTTCTAACAGACACAGGAAATTATATTTTTAAATTTCGCGCTGAGCTGAGGGGTCAGCTTGGCTTGACGTCATCAAAGCGACCAGTGCGTGTAAGGCAAATGTGAACTTGTAGTTCATTCTTATATTGGTTGATACCATACGGAGCGAGATCCCGCAAAGGTTTTTTAAAAAGCGATATTGAGAGATCTCGCAGCTTTTTTTCCACCTATCGAGTTTTTTCTTTATGTCCCCTTCCGGGCTCCGTAAAATAAGACTTTTTTTTTTAGAGTTCTGTAAAAATAAAACATTTGCATTTATTTTTTCCTCAGTCGACCACTGTTCTGTACACGTGTGCAAGGACAACTGGAGAAAATGGTCTAGAGCTGTCTTTTATTTATTTTTTGTTGTTACTGCTATTTGTAAAATGTATTTATGTACCGTTAGTGTGTGGCTATAAAATATCTTGCTGCACCTAGACAGTGAGTATATATGATAGGCTTATTCAGTAATAATATTGCAGGTTGGATTAAAAAAAATAAAACAAAATGGTATGCTCATTTCCAGCCATTTAATGTTTAATCTTGGTATCTCTAGATTAGCTTTGCACTCATCATAACACCAAATAGTCTAATTATTTCAAAAGGATAAAACTGCTATCACAAGGAGAACCTGAAAATGAGAAGATAGTTCATGAACGTGCACACCTCTTGTTGCCGGTCAGGAAGCTATGACAACTCATAAACAACAAATAAAAAACTGACAAATAAGCTACATATTCAACAATGACAATACCTTAAATCCTACCTGACATCCTCGAGCCAGAATATGAAAGCGGGCAGCACGACAAACCACAACAATATTAATTAATTTGAATTTCTCCTCCATAGATAGGTAAACAACGGTATATATACCAATGAAAATAGATTTGTAACACTCTAAACAAAGTCGATAAATGAGAAACCTCATGTTTTAACTTGCATAATGCATACATAATAACTTCTTCAGCCTCGCAACAATTCTTTACAGAAACAACACATTAACAAATGTGCTTGTTTTTTTTACTTACCGTTACATCCCACCAAGTTGTGGAAACTTCAAGTTTGGTAAATCCAACTGGTGATCACTGCATCTTGCCCCACAAATCCCTTCCATTACAGGTGACCACATTCCCAAAGTAGTGAAATTAATTCCAACCAGTAGCCTTGCACTGACAATAACATCATGGATAGTTACAATCCTCTGGCCAACCTGTAACACATCATATTTGCTGTGCTCCAAGGGAATCCAGCATTGATGAACTGATTGTTCACTGCCCCAGGGTGCTTCACTGGCCGGCTGATTGTATGTTTCGAGCAGGCCCATTCATGCCAGGTTAGACTTGGTCAGGTAAAACAGTGGGTCCCAGTACATGAACATTCCTGGACATACAGTAACCTCAGGCCATATATTTTTCTCCCACATCCTCTGGTCACAGTGCAGGCAGCAGGAGGTAAAATATATCCAGAAAACTACATGCAGTCAAAAAAAATCCCACTTTTAGAATGGCACAGGTGAATGTCAGTCAAGCTTGCATAAATGCGCACAGCCACGAGAATATGACCTTTCAAGGATAGACTAAGACTTTACATAGTTTTGGGGGGAGGGGGAGCCTAGATAGCGAGAGGGCAGACTTGTATAAACTGAGCTGCTTCTGCAAAGAAGTACAACAACATAGGTACACCTTGTGTACTGAGCTTTTAGTCACGTTTAGGATGATAATTCATTGTTGTAACTTTGTAGATTAGTTAGAAAACAGTGGAAAGCATGCCATGGGTTCTTAAATAGAATAATTTAATAATTCACTATTATCCTCCCATTTTATTAACTTAATATATGGTCCCAGAGAATAAATCATGAATGTACTGTGAGCTGAGAGAATAAATCATGAATGTACTGTGAGAGTTTATAAAGCATCCATGGAATATACCGCCGTTGGACGCCTGCTTGTAAGAAACTACAATCCCATAATGCAATGCAATCTTGGCAGTGTTACTTGTCGACGTGGGAAGTGAGGGCTTCGGACGCAAACAAATGTCCACGGGTTTGTTAACCTACAGAAAACCGTGACATGTCAGGTGGATTTGCTAGGTAACTCCATGACATGAAATATGTGGCTCAAACCAGAAGAGATTCTGCTGAAAAACGCGTTTAAATTATGGGTCACCGAGAAGGATAACAAGTATTTCGTACTGCAAAGGAGGCGAGGTTACGGAGACGGAGGTGGCGGTTTGACAGGTAACGTTTGCGGTTATGTTATCACTTTGTTGCATGTTTAGCACAGCTGCTGTCGCTTCGCCGAACCACATTAAAACAAGCATGTTATTAACGAGTTAAATTCACCACACGTTTGTTTAGCCAATCTGCTGTCTGCCATGTAGGGCGGGTGCTGCTGTATGGTCAGCAGGGAAAAAACCCTGCAACAGGTCGAAGCCAAATGTCAGTATTACATGAATCATGTACTGAACAGCTGGTTTTCTAAGATTGACACACCAGCCCGAGAGAGTGAATGTGTCTTTGAGACAGCACAGATAAAGAAGTTAGCGTTACATGGGGTAAAGTCTATGTCCGCTATACACAATTCATCTAATTTCCTCTTGATTTGACCGTTTTTTGTGTGTTTTTACCTCTGGTTAGGTTAACGGATGTACATAGGCCTAGAACTTTGAGCCATTTCGACTCGAGTCATAATTTATCATCTTACAAACTCATCTATTATTCATGTATTATATGTTGTAGGTGGATATCCCACCCTTTGTAAGCGTTTACCTTCAGCTGTTCAGCCACTTTGTGCTCCAACTTTCTCCTAGGTGCTAGAAATAAAATCCTTAAATGTGTAATGTCACTGCAGTGTCAGGGACTTTGTGGAATCCTTGATACTTATAGTTGTCACACTGTACATGAGGTTATATTCAGTTTTGCTAAAATGAAATGTAACATTTTAATATGGAGTCAAAGCATTGTTCCTACAGTAAGTACAGTATGTAAGGGTAGGGCTGCAACGTCATTTACCTGGGGAAATGATGGCACCGGAAAGGACTAGGGGAAGAAGGCAAGGTGGTAACGCTCTGGGCAATGTTCTGCTGTGAAACGTTGGGTCTTGGCATACATGTGGATTTTATTTTGAAATGGACCACATACCTAAACTTTGTTGCAGACCAAGTACACCCCTTTATGGCAACAGTATGTACTGATGGCAGTACACTGCCCTACCACACCTCAAAAACTGTTCAGGAATGGTTAGAGGAACATGACAAAGAGTTCAAGGTGTTGACTTGGCCTCTGAATTCCCCAAATCTCTGATCATTCATCTGTGGGATGTGCTGGAGAAACAAGTTCCCACCTCACAGCTTACAGGACTTAAAGGATCTGCTGGCAACATCTTGGTGTCAGATACCAGAGGATACCTTCAGAGGTCTTGTGAAGTCCATGCATCAGTGGGTCAGGGCTGTTTGACCAGTATGAAGGGCACCTACACTATATTTGGACGTTGCTCCGATATTGTTGCCGATCAGTGTATATCTTAGAGTTATATTTATCTGTTGACTTTATTCTAAATATTTCCTTATTTTTAGCCAAATAACCCATTATTGTTCTTACATGAATTTTATACTTCCGGTTTTAGGGACTCACGGTCCATGTTCAAAGTTAACTGCTGCACTGTCAGAACTATTATTATTGTTATTATTATTATTAGTGTATTTATTTGTTTATTTATTTTACACTGAAAAAATCTTAATAACAGCATTCCAAATTTATGATTGAGGCATAACCTGTTGTATAAACCTAATTGCATGAAGTTCTTTACTAACTTATATCTTTCAAAGCCATTGGCACCGGACAGTATAAAAATAGTGCTTGTAATAGCACCAGTGATTGTAACCCACAGCTTTTAACCAGTGCCAAAAGGTAATTAACAGATAACTAATGATAATTATTGGTGTTCTAGCTGAGGCCAAAACGCCTGATGCCCTGTCTGGCTGGTTTAATGATGGGGTAGGTTAAATACTACATGAAGGTACATGGAATACTGCACTTAAAGCACAAGAACGTTTTAAATCTGGAGTATCTTTTTCTGTGTTTCAGTCTGTCTTCTGCTGTGTGATGTTGTTCTGATTAGACCATAAATGGTGTGAACCCTGTTTTATCCTGCTGATTTTGAATGTTTGGAAGCTCACTAGTAGGACATGTGGAGAGCTGTTCCATGTTTAGTGGGCAGGACAGTATATTGGTGATGAAATACATATGGGAGAGTCAATTCACTGCCATCTTGTTAATTATTCATAGAGGATATGTAAGAGAGAAGTTGTACAGGTACCAGATTTAGCTATTTTTAGTTGTGTGACTCCAAAATGAACTTGGGGGGTCATTCATTTTCTGCTCTCAGTATGATTATAAATGGATAGTCTGTGATCCAAGTATATACAAAAGAGTGATAGTAGTACCTCTGAACACATTCTGATGTTGTCCAAATGGTTGTTTACAAGTAAATTCAGCAGTAAAACACAGTTGTGATCAGTCAACAAATAGTGATTGATCAGTGTTAAAAAACTGGGCCTTTAATGAAAGGTTGTTGTTTTCATTCTTAGTTTCTTAAATATCATACTGTATATAAATCTTATGTTTGTCTTTCTAACTTTCAAAGGTGTCATGTCTGAAGCTTACATGTAACAGTATTCATGTACTGTATGTTACAGGCCTCCTTGTGGGAACTCTGGATACTGTGTTGGACTCGACATCCAAAGTCGCTCCCTACCGCATTCTTCACCACACACCAGACTCACAGGTGTACTGGTCAATAGCATGTGGTAGGTCACTTTATGTTCACCTTATTCTAGCTAACATTTCATTCACATCATTTTGTTCTTAAAATTCTAACTGCAAAAATTTCTTTTGATTAAATCACATGTTGAAACTGAGTAAAGCCCAAATAAGATATTCCTTTCAAAATAAAAGCATGGTCCACTTTATTAATCAAGAATGTTTTAATTCCGGGTTGAGTTTTTGTAATTTTTCTCTCTCTCTTGATGTTGGCTCAGGTGTCACCAAAGAAGAGATTGTACAGCACTGGGATTGGCTGCAACAGAACATCATGAGGACACTCGCTGTTTTTGACTCCAGCGAGGACATCACCAGTTTTGTACAGGGCAAGATCAGAGTAAGTACATACATATTTAACCAGTGACTTGTAACACCCCACACTAAATATTTAATAAAGTGTCCAGTCTTGTTGGTCCATTAAAGGCTTTAGTGAAGGATGGCCTTTTGTGTCTTCACTCATGGCCCCTCTATGCAGCTTCCAGCCTCTCAGACCAGAACAACTTCCAAATCAACCAAGGAACAATCAGTTATGGAAAACTGGATTTAACCTTTGTCCCCACCAACTATTGAGGGAACTCTCTGGCTCCATTACCTTTATCAACCATTTGCTAATCTTATTTGTCTACTGTTTGGTGTTGAGCAAGTAACGTGCAGCGGGTTTATCAACACTTAAAAACATTGCCTGAAAATGACAGATGGAAGTGGTGAGAGCAAACCAAAGCAGTGTCTTTTGGGTCCATATAACCAAAACAGTGGGCTGTGTATAGCTGATGAAAGCACAGAATCGAGTGATAATTAATTCTCTATGGCTCTGTCACTAAGAGCAACATCTCTCACATTACACATTAGTCATTTTTTGTGTTGATGTAAAAGTATTGATTAGAATAACTTCAAGTTTCTGTGTGCCATGTCTTAGGGTCTCATTGCCGAGGAAGGGAAGGCATCCCTGGTGATGGAAGACGATCCTGAGAAGTTCAGAGAAGCGCATTTGAGATTTGAGAAGTGGTTTGAACTGCCACCAGAAGAAAAGCTGGTCACGTATTACTCATGCAGCTACTGGAAAGGCAAAGTGCCCTGCCAGGGCTGGCTCTACCTCAGCACGAACTTCCTGTGCTTCTATTCATACCTGCTGGGATCTGAGGGTAAGCCATTTCTGGGCCATTTATTAACATGTGCTGCCATTTGCCTTAATAATGTTGCTTGGTTGTAACAAAGACTGTGAGCTTTTATGGCCTGAAAAGAATACATGTTGAACTTTTTTCTTCTTTTTTTTACAGTATAAAAGAAATCTTTGTAATGACAGCTGACATAATTGTAAAAAGGCCATTATAGCTGACCTCATAGTGGAGGTGAGCTTGAAAAGCTGTGTGGCTAAGGAATAACTCATGACACCCAGCAACATTTGAAGGATTTTCATAGTGACAAACCTTTTTTTTGTGTATCAGCAGTTCTTTATAATGGTGAATTACTGTATGTTGTCACTGCAATGTATTTCATATATTTTAATGAATAAGAATTTGTACTTTGTTGGACCAAAAGGAAACAGAATTGCTCAATAATCATTGCACCCATTTCCCATTCATTCAAGGTCTATGGTCCATCTGTGAGCCTTAATAACTGCTTTCATTTTCATTAATTGTGATGACTCTGCAGTGAAATTGGTCATCTCCTGGGACGAGATCTGGAGGTTGGAGAAAACCTCTAACGTTCTTCTGACTGAGAGCATCCATGTCTTAGCTCATGGGGAGGATCATTACTTCTCCATGCTGATGCACCTCAGTGAAACCTTTGTTATCATGGAACAGCTGGCTGATTACTCCATCAAGCGCCTTTTTGATAAAGAGGCCTTCCAGAGAGAGCCAGCACTCTCTGACCCCCTTCAAATTACTAAGAGGTACTTGACTTGAGTTAAATAGTTTTTGTGTTTGTTTTAACACGCCTGGCACGGCAGGTAGGTCACATAAAACAAAACTGGTGTCAGATATTTTAAATTCAACTGAAGTTTAATTTCTAAATGGAATAATTTAAGGTTATAATGATACAACAGGGCATTTAAAAACTGATCTTGAGCAACATAATCTACCTGTTCATACTATGACATTATGTTATAAAACATGTATTTGCAATGATCTACAATTTCACACACTGTTGGGGACTGAAATAACCTAATTTTCCGGTGCCTAAACGATTGCTATGTAAGGTGACAGTCAAAGCAGAGGTTACTGTGAGATTCTGCATGTGACTTTGACACTGCAAAAAGGATGTTCTTAGAAAACTTAAACATGATGTTCTGCTCATGACATTATTATCTGCTTTACTTTCCTCACAGAGGTCTAGAAGCACATGCAAGGAGTGAGCAGTTCCGCACATTTTTCAGGCTTCCCAGAGAGGAAAACCTGTTAGAGGTGTATGAGAGCTTCCTGTGGGTGCCCTTCAGCCATTTCAACACACTTGGCAAAATCTGTCTATCTGAGAACTACCTGTGTTTTGCCAGCCAGGATGGAAGCCAGTGTCATATCATCGTTCCAATGCGAGAGGTAAAGTCGAATAAAGGCCGTATTGCTGGATCAATAAAAACACTTCCAGTAATGCACAAATAGCACCCTGCATACTGATGAATAGCAGATCAAAAGCGACTGTGTGGTCTGCCAACACTGCTTTCTTCCAGGTCGTTAATGTTGAGAATCCAGACTCCAGCAGCAGGGCTTTAACGGTATGTGTGCGTGGCAAGACAGCGCTGCGTTTCTCTGAGGTGCGGGACTACCAGCGGCTTGCCAGCACGATCCGTAGCAGGTGTGGAATTAGTGCCAGCCCTCAGCACTCTGCTTCATCAGAGGTAAGATGTTTTAACTTGTGCCTTTTAATGTACTTTACTTTACATCCCCTTTGCTCTTCATTCTGTAGTTTGCAGTGATTTCTGACAATGAAATATTATATGTTTAGGTCATACGAGGGGAATGTCAGTCACTCATCAACCATTTTGAGGACAATCCAGAGGATGTAACACTGATGGTGGGACAGAAAGGCAGCAGCAAGGCTGTAAGCACCGAAGCTCTCATGACTGTTTTCCACCCCCAGGATGTTGAAAACCTTGACCCCAAAATGGTAAATACCAGAGTTCTTTTCTGTTTTCACCAGACGTTTGTTGAAAACAACCAAATTAACTTACAAAATCTGACTGGATTACTTCAATGTCATTTTAATGCACCAGATAGCTTCCTATGCTCTGCAGGATGTGGGTGTGCGGGTGTGGGTGTCCAGTCAATTCAGGAGTGAACATAAATAAAAATGAAGCATACATCTGTTAAGAAATCTGATCAGATCTGATAGTGTTTCAGTGTTTGATACAACACTGTGGTGCATTCTACCTATGTATTTGACAGCTTAAAGAAAAGATGAAGGAGCAGTCTTGGAACATTCATTTCTCTGAATATGGACGTGGAACGAGTATGTTCTTTACAAGGAAGACACGAGACCTGATTGTTCGTGGTGTTCCTGAGGCTTTGAGGGGAGAGCTGTGGATGCTTTTTTCAGGTATTCATACACCAAACCAAGTGTTTATTCAGCATAAAAAAATTAATAAAATATGGTTTATGTGAACTCTGCAGTACCTGTTTTTGGAGTGACTGTTGTTTTGGCTCTGTAGGAGCTGTGAACGACATGGCCAATCACCCTGGCTATTACACTGAGCTGGTTGAACAGTCTCTGGGCACAAGCACTCTGGCTACAGATGAGATTGAAAGAGACCTGCACCGCTCTTTGCCAGAGCACCCAGCCTTTCAGAGTGACACAGGAATCTCAGCACTACGCCGAGTCCTTACTGCCTACGCCTATAGGAACCCAAAAATTGGATACTGCCAGGTATTTTGATTTTTTTGGGCTTGTTGTGAACAGGTAGAAAAACCCTTATCGACAGCTCTTAGAGCTCTAAACAGTCATTTTCCAGTTTCAGTAGTTCCCCAAAAGTTTATCACAAATGAATAATTAATGTGAAAAACAATTACCAGGAAGCCAACTTGCTCTCATAATCATACTTTTTCTTCATGTTGAATGATAATTTATGAGATTATTCATTGTTTGCCAACACAAAGAAAAGTAACTCAAAACCCAGTGACTATAGAAACTCACCATCTAACATGCTGATACAAGATGTACACTATGTACACTGATCAGGTGTTTGCACAGGTATTTTACAATGTCTGTGTACTTGTATAGATATTCATATGTCCGTGCACACACACGTGCATACTGTCAGTATCAGTATACATCAGTATACGTATACATATAGGAAGGCGCTCAATCCCATTGCACTTGGCAGTGATGCGGCAAAAATAAAAAGGAGACCAAAAACTCGCACCAAAAAAAGCCTGCATGGAGAGAAAGAAAGGATTCAATTAATCAGCATTCCATCTTACAGTCCAAAACCATCTGTTTAGTAATATTAAATATTAGTCTATCATTCCTTTCAATGCAGTGTTTAAAGAAAAGTGTCCAAGTCTTAAAAAAACTCCTCTATCCTACTTTTACATCTAAATCTGTGTGAGGTATTCTGTTGGTATTTTCCCAGATGTTAGCTTATGCCATCCTTTAGTTGTAGGCTGTGCGCTATCAGTCCATCTAAGCAGTATAATGTAAGAATAACAAATAGCCTTCTTTGATGACAGCCTCTGATGTAGGGGCTGGGTAGACTGAGAAGCAAGACCTGATTTTCAGCATCAAGCTGCATGTCAAGAAACAGGTGTCCAGTTTACCAGAGATTTTGCCCCAGTATTCCTCAATATGAACACATGTCCACAATACAGTGGCCATAATTCCCCTCCTCTACTTGACAACACATTTCTGTCAAACCCTAATGATTTTAAACTCTGGTCTCCTTGAATGTAATTAGTTTGTGACATTGAGATGTGTAGTAATTCTGAAAAGCAGAGGTTGTTTTTGTTGTTGTTTTTAATGTACTTTTTTTTTCAAGTATTTTGGAAAAAATGGCTTTGGCATTGGCACAAAAAGGCCATAAATGCTTTAAAGCCACTAAACATTTTCAAAAAGGCACTGAAAAATGCTTTTCATAGACGTATCTTTATACTGGCTTCCTCTTCGCAGTTAACTTGTACTTACAACTGAAGTAGTCTATTTTTAAAAGTGTCTTTTTCTCCTGTTCAGGCCATGAACATTCTCACCTCAGTTCTTCTGCTCTACGCAAAAGAAGAAGAGGCTTTCTGGCTCTTAGTCGCTGTCTGTGAGAGGATGTTGCCAGATTACTTTAACCGTCGAATTATCGGTAAGTCATGAGGCAAAGGATGCCATTCTGAAACTCTCTACTGGTAATTTGTAAACATAACATTTTAACCATGTCAAGAATTAACTTGTGCTTTCAAATGTTGCCCATCTTTCTTCAGGCGCTTTGGTCGACCAGGCTGTATTTGAGGATCTGATTCGAGAAAACCTCCCCCAGCTGGTGGATCACATGACTGACCTGAGTTTCTTCTCATCTGTGTCCTTGTCCTGGTTTCTCACTCTCTTCATCAGTGTCCTGCCCATAGAGAGTGCTGTGAATGTGGTGGACTGTTTCTTCTACGATGGCATAAAAGCCATCCTGCAGCTTGGCCTGGCTGTGCTGGAATACAACATGGAAGCTCTGATCACCTGTCACGACGATGCAGAGGCCGTCACCATACTCAGCCGGTCTGTGTGAATACAAACAAAGCCAGATTGGTGTATTTTAAATAGTAGTTAGTCACTCTCTTTGTCTGGTATTGTAATTTCAGATTCTTTGACAGTGTGACAAACAAAGACAGCCCTTTGCCTCCAACAGTGCAGCAAGCACCAGTGGGCAATAGTGATAAAGCATCGCACTTTAATGTGGATATCAGTGAACTGATCCGAGGGGCCTATGAGGTATTGCAAGATTTTTCAGTGTCAGTTTTCATCAGTGATGTGGCTGATGTAACCAATTGTGTTTCTTTACAGAAATATGGACATATCCGCTCAGAGGAAGTTGAGAAGTCACGGAAAAGAAACAAACTGCATGTGATCCAGACACTGGAGGATACAACCAAACAAAATGTTGTAAGTGGTCACAGACTTTGGAGTAATAACATTTACTGTGACATATGTTAAGGATTAAAATAATATTTATTTTTTAGATTCGGGTGGTGTCCCAAGAAGTCAGATTCAGTTCCTCACAGCTTGATGAGCTTTATAATTTGTTCAAAGTGAGTCCAAAACATAATACTGGTATTTTTGTACATCTTGAGTGTCATCATACATAAACGACAAGGCTCATAATGAAAAAGTAAGGAGGAGACAGGTCACATTTCTCCTTGTTTTCTTTTTTCAGAGGCAGCATTTCCTCAGCTGCTACTGGACAATGCAGAGTCCAGCTCTGCTCCATCATGACCCCAGTCTGGCCTATTTGGAACAGTATCAGTTAGGTTTCCAGCAGTTCAGTGTGCTCTTCTCTCTGCTGGAGCCCTGGGCTTTCTGCAGCACCAAGAACCCCCTTTGCTTCTGGGTCTTCCGTCTGATAGATGAGAACCAGGATGGCCTTGTCAACTTTAAGGAGTACTGCTGTGCCCTCGGTAGGTTCACTCATTCAGGGCTCTCTCCTAATGCAGTTGTTAGCATCAGTATCCCCAATGCTCTAACGACATATTGCTTCTCACACAGATATTTTGTACAGTGGATCTTTCACAAATAAGCTGAAATTCCTCTTCAAGCTGCATCTGCCACCAGGTGAGTGAGGAACAATGGATAAAAATGGCAGAAAAAGATGAACTCTAGCCCACTGTTATCTGTGTCGTTTGTAAACTACAAAATACAAAAGTCTAAGTGTATCTTTGCCTTTAACGACGGATCCATTTCTTTCTCAATATATCTATAGTGATGACAGACTCCTCAGGTTCAAAGTTCACATGTTATCATACAGGATTCTTTACATTCTCCAGATTTTACTCAACACATTCACATGACAGCAAGTGACACACAGAAGCAGCCTAAAGTAAAAAAAAATAAATAAAGGATCAGATAGTTATAAAGGTCTGCTGCCTACAGGGCCTCAAAAAGTATGAGTTGCCATTAGCCCATAACGTTTGTTGAGTGAGTACATTACCTAGCTGTCCTTGGATGTGTGGCTCTACAAAACTGTTGGGTGAAACAATTTTTCCATTGCAGCAGAGGTTGTACAGAGCTGTAAGGGTATTTTGCAGTGAATTTGTGATAAGGAAGAGCTGCTCAGATTACATCTGACAGCATAGCAGCATATGAGCACTGAGTCACTGTCTGCGAAATGGCAGGAGAGTGAATATTAAGCAGCACAGCATGGCTTGTCTCAGTGCAGTGCTTCAGCACCACGGACAGGTCCCATCCGTGTGCCATAGTCAAAACAAAATGGGAGAGGCCAACTTCTGATGTGCCCCTGGATTAATACTTGTATGCTAAAGAATAATTAGGCTACAACGCTGCCCTGAGTACTGAGTGTTTGTCCTTTGCTTCCTCCTTGTTAGTCAGAGCTTCATTTGACCAAATCAACATCTTTGAGGTCAGATTCTTACATCATAAGACAAACAACTAACAAGCACAATGCTGTGCTTATATTTAAAAGGAAAATGCCATCTTGCTGTTTTACTTTATTTTTCCTTTTTAATGTTTTTAAAATTCCAGATTGGCTGCTGTTTTGATAACACCTTGTAAAACAAAGTCTGCAGAGTTGAGTGGATAAGGAAAAAAAAGTATGGAGAAGGGGCTGAAAAATGATCCCTCACACCCTTTGTTGATTTCACAGTAGGACAGGCCTAAGCCCTCACAGACTTAATGAGAGCCCACATCAAATCTGTGAGTGCACAAGAGGAGGCACTGGAACTGGGCCAAACACTCCATCGATCAAGGAAATGAAATCGTGTGCTATTTAGAGCTGAGAGTCTGCAGAGTTTTCAGTCCAAAGACAGTACAGCAGTTGGGTTCACTTACCAGCTTCAGTCAGAGAGGATGGCTGACTGCCATCAGTGGCATCACCTGCATAGTGACAGGTTATATCTTGTTGTAACTTAAAGCTCCAGCTCTGCTAAAGGGTGCAGTGCTCTGCTTACACCACAGTATGAAACGTTGGCTAGACGTACTGAGGATATTCCTGAAAACATTACAGATAAGAGCTCTAAAAATGTTACTTGTAGGGACTGCGCTATTAGTAGTTCTACATTTAGTGTTGCTTTTATTTTTTTAATTTTTTCTGCTGATCATTAGGGTTTTTTATGTATAAAGGTGATAATTTGACGTTGGCAAAAAGGGGATTCATAGTTCGACAGATCCTCTGGGAAGCAGCATAGTGCTAAAGTCCATGTTCATGTATCCATTAGATTTTTTAAATAATATTTTTAGCTCGAAATTGTAGCCTGTTGCTTGCAGTTAAGTAAAGGTCACCACAACTAGTAAAGTTCAAATCCTAAATCTAATGACACAGACGTACTGAATAAACACACACCATGCCAATCCTCAGGTTGTGCTACTATCAGGCAATTATGCTGTCAATGCTGGTTTGTGAGGGAAATCTTTCAGTCCAGGCATGAAAACTGTTATAGATGTACAGTATATCACATCAAAAATAATATCAGAGTGAGAAATTTAAATGATTCAGGCAAAAATTGTTTTTCACAGGAAAGCTTTATTTTAATTTCCAAACAATCCTCAATATTCTTTGCACAGAATATACACTGAACAGCCATAAAATTATGACCACCTGCTTAACACTGTGTAGTCAGTGCACCCATTGGTTGGCACTCGTGTCACTCTGCAGCTCACTGTGCATCTTCTGTGAATCTGTTTGCTTCCATAGTTGTAGTGTCAGGAAGAGCACAGATGTGCTGACCATACAGTGAAAGACTTATGTAAAAGTAGTGAAATCTGTGGTCGTGAGGCGTTAGAGAGAATGTTTTTGCTTCCAACACATCAACATCAAGGTCCGAGTGTTCACTTGCTGCCTAATATCCCACACACTGACGGGTGCCATTGTAAAATAATCAGTGTTTGGCTGATCACTGTATGATTTGACAGTATAAAAAGTGCACTTTAAGCTTCAGTGGTACTCAAATGAAGGTTACCAGTTACAGGAAGGTGATTACTCTACAGAAGCTCAAAACCTTTGCCATTGTAAGTAGATAATTAGTGTTATTCACTTCACCTGCCAGTGGTCATAATGTTATGGATGGTGAATGTTTCTTTATACATATGTAATAATACTGTACATAAGTGTTTGTTAGCCCAGTCCAATGTATATAAATGAGTAAAAAGCTTATAATGTGGTCCAATGCAGCACCACCACTAACTAGTGTATACCCCCCCAGATGACCTCAGAGATGAGTGTCTGAGAATGTTAACACAAACAATCGACTGATAAGAGCTTTAATCAAGGTCTCTCATCTACCTTACTCCTGAATCTCCTGTCATTTCTTTCTCTTAACCTTTCCTCTCAATGTACTCACAGTATCTTCTATAGCTTTTACAGGTAGCCCTTTGCACTTAAAGGAACAAAGAATCCAGCACTTTATTCCACTGAATGAGGACTCTTCTCACTTGAGTAGACTCTCTGGTTAGCTGCTTTACTCTTTCTTTTACTCAAAAACTCCAATTTCACTTTTCCACCTATAATTCTGTCTTGAAGCCTGAATACACAGATTGTTGTTGAAGCATTTTGCTATACAGTTTGTTCATGTGCTGCTTATGTTGTGTATTTCAGGATTTGATCTTCCAGAAGATGGTGTGATAAGGAAGAGCCCAGAGAGAGGTATATTTTGTCTAAATGTACTGTAAACACTCCATGGCTGTTACTGTCGATGAATTAGGATTGTGTGATAATGCAGTTTGTCTGTAAAATTGACAGGTAGAGGAAAAGTGGACCTGCAAGCCTACCTGAAGCAGTGGCAAAATGAAATACTTAAGAAAGAGGAAACTATCAAGGACCTACCCCGAATTAATCAAGTAATTGAATCCATGTTGTATTATTACTGAAGAGACCGTCTGCTTTGACAGGTTCACAGTAAATTGACCCATGTGATGTGTTAAATTATTTGATAAATACTACTTTTGTTCTATCTCAGACTCAGTTCATTCAGTTCTCCAAGACCCTGTACAGCATTTTTCATGGCGATCCAAAGGAGGAGTCTCTGTACCAAGCCGTGGCCCATGTGACCAGCCTTCTACTGAGGATGGAGGAGGTAGGACGAAGGCTGCAGGAGCCAAGCAGCCCACCTGAGTCCACGAAGCCTGCCAACACTGCTGCTGCAGAGGAGTCTTCTTCAACCGAAGAAGCCTCTACCAGTCCAGAGGGCTCTGACACCTCCAGCTCTCACACCAGTCAGGACGTGGGGGCCGATCTCTCAGAAACAGAGTGGTCGTTTTCATTCGAGCAGGTCCTGGCTTCTCTGCTCAACGAGCCAGTCATAGTCGCCTTCTTTGAAAGGCCTGTTGATATTCAGACGAAACTGGGACAAGCTAAGGCTGCCCAGCTGAAGCTAAAAACAAATAAGTGAAAGGATACATAAAGGAACTGATACTTTGCTTCTGATTTACACCTAGAGGTCATATTGGAGTTCTTTCTCCATTTGGATAGGGCAGGGAGTGAGGTTACTGTAGAAGTGACATCATATTTTAAAATCTGGGATGCTGCATGTGTGTGTATGTGGCTTGGGTGTTCAGGCACGTGATTAAATAAAATGAGGCGCGGACATTGTAAACACTGTAACAGTCCACTGACCAACACCCTCAGTGCAAATTTATTTTTTTTTGGTAAGTGTCATTGCAGACATGCTGCAGGCTGTCGTTCCGCACATCTCATTATGCATTTTTTTAACTTCATATTGAAATCTGTTCTCTCATTTAGCCTCGGTTTCTTCAGATTTGAGGCATAGTTTAGCATATTTTCACCTGTAGCACATAACAGTATAGTTTTGTATAGTACTGTCCTCTGTCTAGAAGCATGACAGAAGAGTTTGTCCTTCCCGCTGTAGTCACTACACCTCTACGACAAATGAATTGCTGAAGTCCTCAGGAGGACTCTTTCTGGTTACCATGATATTTTATTTTTCAGATTGCAGTCAATGCTCCATAATAAGACATCCTGTAAATGCTAATGTGTTCTGTGACTCCATTGTTGTGGTAAGCGTACTCTGTAAACATCATCTTACTGTGAGAAACACCAGCTTTTTCACTTGATACAGGCTGAGAATAAACAGTAGTACACTGAGTGAGGACAAGCAGTATGTTGTCCCCCAGAAGCCATAAATTGATTCCAGAGATTACTTGAATTGGGAAATGTCTTATGGAGAGTAAAAAAAAAGATTCAGTTATGCCACAGCATACTCATCTGTCTTGTACCTCCAACAGCAGCACATGCAGTAACAATACTGTGGTGACGTGACTTTATACTGAAACTATAATCTGTAAAGATAAAGTTTGAGTTTGACAATGCTGCTGCAGGGAAATCTCCTGCTTCTGTCTCTAAGATACTCTAAGAAATATGTGTGTGTGATCCTCACAGTGCAACGGTTTGATGTCCTGTTTGCTTATGTCTCTCTAACTGTATGTCTATGATGTTATGCCCTAGTATAAGTGCAGAATTTCTATTTTACATAAATGTCAGCTCAAGTTTTGTTTGGTTATTGTATTTATGAGGCTTGTATTGACAGTATAAGATATGAGCTAGTGCACTGTTGTGGACACAACTTAAACCTTCTGAAGGACTTTTTGTTTCATCAAATCTCAGGGTGCAATTTATGTAAAATAAAATGGAGATAAGGGATATTTTTCAACCTGGGACAAATAAAGTATATAACTGAATTATACGTAGCCTCCTTAACGTAAATATAAGAGTATGTGTAGCATAGTTAGAAGATTTGCCACACTATGCTAACCTTCACCAAACAACTAAGCAACTATTTGTGCTTGGTATGGAGATTTGACTTACAGTTTGTTTGGTTGTTTTCTTCTTACCTGTGCTTTTTCTGCCTCTTTGTTTTTGCTTCTGTTTCAGTGAATTATTTGCAGTTGTTTCACAATCAGAAGCTGTAGATATGCCTGTATCTTGGTCAGATCTCAGAGGTGTTGGATCGACCACTTCATCTGCAGCTTTTAATCTCCAGAGGCCAATTCACAAATGTATAGAGCTTTATCTCTGCTTGCATAAGGAAATTGTGCTTTAGAAGCTTCATACGTGAAATTCTGTTACCTATACTTCTATTATTTTGCAGTTTGATAGAAATGTTTTGTTTGTTTTCTTAAGTACTTATTTTTTCACTTCAAGACCAATCTGATGTGTATTTCATTGTGTAAGGTTAATCAGGATAGACTGTGAGGTGTTCATAGAAACCTCAGTTCTCATTGGAACTGAAAGCAGATCACTGTTACTCTTTACATAACACACACACACACACGTGTGTGTGTGTGTTTAAAAAAAAAAACGTTCACCTTTGCTATGTTAATAAATCCAGTGCTCGACAGTGACTTCAGTATGAAACCCTGCTGAGCCAGCAGAGTTCAGCCTGGAGTTTCAGGAGCTCATCATCACCTTTCACAATGGAAAACCTTTCATTATATAAAGAAAATTCCACTCTGACCATGGTCTTACTATTTCATGTTGTACTGTTCACCTGCACATTCATGCTGCATTTGCAATATCTCCAAACTTGAAGAAATGATTTTCAAATGCAAATTGCAGCCTTTTTATCAAAGAAAGTGTTGTAATATTTCCACTAGTTATTGCATGCTTAATATCCTGAAGATTAGAAATGACAAACTGATCATTTTGCATTCAATAATTCATTAGATTCTTAGTCACTTTCTTCAGGCATAGCTTCTGAAAAATGGCATTGAGATGTCTTTTTTAGGCCAGAATATTTTGTGGTTTCTTCTTGGTGTGGAAATAAAGGAGATGATTTTGACTTTGTAGGAACAGAAGAAGGAAAATCAGAGGGTTGGAAATCTTCAGCCCCTTGGCATGCAGCCAGATCTGCCAATAGACATGGATAATGCTCCAGCTGCTGTGTTAGCATATCCTTACATGTGCAAATGTACTCTACAGCTTTTTGTAGACTGTAGCTTTTATTTGAGCATATGTTAAGTACAGATATTTGTGTTTATTTACTTGATTATGATTTTTTTTTTCATAAAAATGCACCAGAATAAAATGTGGGGATTATACGAGTAAGAAGATTTGGGTTTTTTCTTCTTTCTAGTCTAGTTGTTCCTCTTTCTATAGTAAAAGTAGTGGTTCAGTGAATTTACACACACTAAAATGAACAGAAATTTGACTCATGATGACGTTAGCTGATGCTTTTATTTGTATTTTACATGATACAAGCTTCAACACACAAAGCGAACAAGTATTTACTGTACTTGAATGACAGAAACTAGTGCAGTTGGTAGTCCTGCTGTAGGGGAGAGAAGAGGACAGATACACTGATATACATCAACACTGACCTGTGCTTGGGTTTTAAGATGGCATCATTTTCAAGAAAATGAAGGTTTTTAAGCATTGCTGTGCTTGGTGATGAAAGGTCATAACTGTGATGTTATCCACATGCAAACGATGTGGGATCATACATGTTCTAGAGGTCTACAGTTTATCACCATTACCAATGAACTATCCCTTCATTGACCCATCCTAAAGCATGCACTCTGTCTGATTTAGAAGCAGCAGTGTGACTTGATGACGGATCTCGGCATACTTGTCTGGCTCAGAGATATGGTTGCATATAGTTGTAACCCAGGGTTCATGACCTTTGCCCCCATCACCTGTTCAGTTTCCAGCCTTGTCCTGTCGTTCTGTTCTGGAAGAAACCTTACCTTAGTTTATGGCATTAATTTGAAGTCAGAGCTAAAACATTTCTCCTTAATACTCACAGACAAGCTGCACTACCACCATTATTCAGCAGGGTTGATTTTAAATCATATATGCCACTGGCCTCGAGGTTAACCCAATATGATAGTGAAATGCTGCTTTTAAATGTCATGTCAACTTTTCTGCTAGACTTGTGATTACTGAGGAAAAACTAAAGCTAGTTTAAGATTATCACAGACAAACAAAGCTTCATCATGCAAGACCAAGCAGCATTTACAGTATTTGACTGATTGAAAGCAATTTATGCAGCTACCAGTAGTAATCCTGTAGTATCTGTTCTCTCCCCTGGTAGAGAACAGATATGCTGATGATGGTTGTTACAGTACTATATGTTGTTTAATGACCAGCGAAAAGGTTTTTAGGCATCACTTTCCAAATATTAGTGCCGCACTATGATTTGATGCATAACCACCTCTCTGTCTTTATTTGGGCTCAGTTGTTGGCACCATCTTGTTATTGTTGTTGATGCTGAAGTTTGACACCCTACCCCCATTTCACCCACAATGCTCGTCCAAGTGTGTGTGAGGGCTAATTATAGAAGCAGAGAGGAAGCCTTTGAAGCATTGCTCTTACCACAGTGTATGATGGTATGTGGTTTGGAAATGCATCCTTGCACACCACACTACTCAGTTTGGGGGTGTTTGCTGCAGCTGGTCGAGGCCAAGCAGTTAGTATGGCAGCTTCAGTCAAAAAATAGCAAGGCTGCATCAATATGGTGGTGATGACTGCACAACATGTCAACATGACACAGCTCCACAAATCAGATTTTCACTGCATTATTTTTTAATAAACTCAACTCGTAATTCAAACAAGGGAGTTTTTCATACAAATTCAGGATACACTTTTGCAATAAAGCGGATCTTTTCTAACACTTCTGAACAAACCTGGTGAATCAATCCAAACACTCCTGGTAAGTCACAGTGCTTAAGAAACTGTACTGAAATCTACTGTAAATGCCAGTACAGCGTGTGTTAAATCCACATTGAATCAGTGCTGTGGCTCATGTGATTACAAACCTACCGTAGTCTGGCACTGGATCAATATAACATTTTTATGGCTGAAGTTTTTATTTACATCACATCATCATCAATTTGCCTCCAGCAGAGTGTTGTGAAGAAGATGCATTTGAGCAGATGAAATACTGCCTGTGACATTCTTATGATAGGTGAGAAATAAATGGAGGCTATTTCTTGGCCTGTCGATGGTCATAGTAGATTTAACATCTGAATTTAAAGAGAACTTTTGACAAAAGATTGCACTGCTGTAGATCAGTTTAATGAAATTACACAAATAAATAAGCATAATGATTGGACATTTTTTAATCTTAGGGCATCTGCTTTTGCAGAAAATCCAAATATACATGTAGACATTTATTGCTAATATTTGATCAGTGACAGAACTTATTAGATCCCTTGAAAAGAAAGTTTGTGCCTCTCAAAAATCTCGTGCTTTCAACCTGCTGTAAGAAATGTATGTCTTTTTTGTTTTGACATCTTTTACATGCACCTCAGTTTTAATTCAAGTCAAATGTATGTAAACAAGAAATGCTCAACTTATTTGCATTTTCATCACCCAAATTTATGAAAGTTCATTGATGTAAAAACTATTGAGAGAGTGCAAAATGGAATGAACACAACATTCTTTTAAGCTTAAAGATGTGTGAGCCGTTGGTTGATGTAGTGATACCTTAAGAAGAATTAAGACTTCAATTGTGATTTGACTGAAAACCCCCATAGTGAGAGTAAAATAAAGTTAATTCAAGTCATAGTCAGCCCTCCCTGTGCTCAGTTGTTTTGTCCATCATAGTCTTCCATATGCATTCACAAGCTGATATAAATCTTGAAGACGGTCCCTAGACGTTCAGGTCATCCATCCTGCTCTTGCTGCTGCTGTGTTTGCTTGACTGACTAGTTCTGCGTTGATTTTCAACAGGCACCTCACAGACAGGACTGGAGGTTTTCCTCTCCTTTACTTCATCTCCTTCTGCTTTACCTTTCCTTTCCACAGCCATATTGTCTCTGTTCTGCTTATAAACCACTTTGCTGTTGAAGGGGCTGTAAGCAGAGTTTGGCTCTGCCATGCTGTACTTTGAGTCCTTAGGGAAAGGTTCAGGCACTGTAGGATGACCCGCAAAGTAGCTGTAGCCTGGGGCAAAGGGCATGACTGCCTCAGGTAGGTCCTTAGGAGCCTCACGTGCTGCATGTGATCGCCTGTAGTGGAGGCCCTGGTGGCACTTTGTGAAACCTAGATGGTACATTTCCACCAGGTTGAGCAACAGCGAGACACAGGCCACTGCCAACATGAAGAGAATGAACACAGTCTTCTCAGTGGGTCGGGAGATGTAGCAGTTCACCATGTTAGGGCAAGGCCAGCGGTCGCAGGTGTACATCGGCTTGAGTTCAAAACCATAGAGGAAGTACTGAGCTACAATAAATGCCACTTCAAACAGGGTCTTGAAAATAATGTTGAAGACATAGGTTCGCAGTAATGCACCTTGCAATCGCACGTGGCCCTGGCTGTCTTTAACTGAAGCTTTCTTGAGCTTGTTGCCATTTAACTGCTGCTGCTTTTCATTTTGGATGGCGAGGTCCTTTGCTTTCTGTTTCTCCTTTTCCTCCATGCGGACCAGATGAAGGATGTGGCCCAGATAAATGAGAGTTGGTGTGGAGACAAAGATGATCTGCATCACCCAGAAGCGCATGTGAGAAATGGGGAACGTCTTGTCATAGCAGACATTCTGACAACCAGGCTGTTTGGTGTCACAGGTGAAGCCGGACTGTTCGTCGCCCCACACCTTCTCGGCAGCGGCTCCCAGCACCAGGATGCGGAAGATGAACAGCACTGTTAGCCAGACTTTGCCAACAACAGTGGAGTGTTCCTGGGCACTCTCCAGCAGCTTCCCCAACAAATTCCAGTCTGCCATACTAACTCACAGATACAGTACAAAGTCAGATTTACAGAAAGCCAGGAGAGATGCCTGAAACAGAAGGAAAAGCATTATAAAAACACAAGCTGAAGCTAAACCTCAGGCCTTTGTTTTTACATTGATTGACTGTGAAACTGGTGGTGAAATAATATTTATTTTGCTTATTCTCTCTAACAGTAGCTTTTCTAAGTTGCTCTCCTTCCAAAAATATAATTCAAACAGTGCACAACCTGATTTCATGGGAATGCTGGAGTGATACATCGGTTTGTCCAAATGAGCTGTGCCAACTTCAAACTAGTGAGAGGAGCGCAAAGAAAAACACAGAAGTGTCTTGTGCGAAATAACCAAACTGTTCAAGTGTTGGCAGAAAATGTATTGGACCCAGTCTCCTACTAAAAGAGAATGCTGAAAAAATGTGGTTTTTGGGGCCTTTAAAGGATACAGATGGTCATTTTCTATATTAACAGTATTTTCAACAATCCCCAAACCAAGACTAAAAACATTACACTGATTTTTCAATCTGTCAGTCCTGGATTAGCTTATTCAGATTCATTTTAACAAGTTAAATGACAATTTACAAATTTACCTTCGAATCTCATATAGCACATTAAGTCTAAACCATTTAATGCTATGGACTTTATTGTGACACTCCTTGCATGCATACCATTAAAAAATCAGCATTTCTTTTTCCAGACACCTTAGGCTACTTCAGAAATCCTACTAAAAACCCTGATTGATCAGGAATTCACTGTTTATTTTCTAACGACTGTGTCCTCTCCGGTATGAACTGATAAAAAGGCCCAGGACACAGATGACTGTGTGTGAGAGAAAGCCCTGCAAAAAGCTGGGGAGACTCATAGCGTCAGCACAGATCTTGTGACACGCTACCCAACAGTGCTCCCCAACACCCGAATTAGGTTTCTAGTTTGGATTTCAGGGCCTATAGCCAACAACAACAAAAAAAATTACCTTTAAATGTAGTTGTACTTGTCCTTTACAAATAGGAACCAGTGATCAGAAGTAGAAAATCTGTGAATCTGAGCACCTGTTTGAAACACAGAAAGATTGTCAGCCAGGAATGAAAGGAATCAGAAAACACTTTTCATTCAGTAGTAACTGCTGGAAGTGTACTGAAACTGGGCCTGGATTTTATTCTTACATTTTACATCTCTATGTATAACATGCAATATTTTGTAGATAACCAAACCACAGCAGCTTTTCTGATATTTTAAGACACACACAGTCTAAATTATTATCCAGGGTGTCACCATTAATGAAGGACCTACCTGATAATGCAGCAGTGCAGCTGTGCAGATCCAGAGCCACTTGGTGACTGAGCCTCTTCAGTTCACAGAGGGGCCATGTTTTCCTGATGCACTGAGGACATGGCAACGCCAAAATAAACTTCTCTAAGACAGCCTTTACTTGAGACTCTGTGATCACACTTGCTGCCCTCCCACTCTGATCTGATCTGTTCCAATGAGCCACCACAACTAAACTCTACAAGTACAAGCACAGATTGACAGCATTCCTGTCTGTAGAGAAGTATAATAACCCCTCACTGAAGAGGTGTTGCTGTTCAGCTGAGTGGCAGCTGAGGAGTCCAGTGAGGATGCAGGTTAGTGTTACATGTCAGTGAGCTCTAAATATAATTCACAGTGAAGGGAGTGGCTTTGTTGCCACACTCTTGGTGATCTGACCCTTAACTGTGTGGAGGAGCGTCAGACACTGCAGAACTGTCCCCCTGAGCGCTCCAGTCAGGAGTACTACTTGTTGAATGACTGGCATGCTTTGACCATGGTGATACATGTAGAGAAAGACACATAAACCTGAATTGTGCATCTTCTGAAAGTCCTCTGTTTCTTGAAATCAGCTCAAAGTTGAGCTAAACATGTCATATACAGAATCATACTGTGCAGCACACACAACAGCAGTGGAGCAATATTTGCTCAGCAGCACTTTAGTATAGTTTTATGGTGACGGTTTTGTACTTGACTATTTCTGGTTTCTGCCGCTTTATACCTGAACTTTACATTTGATAGGAAAACATTCAAACCATGTGGTCAGCTGTAAAATCTGATGTATCGTTACAGATTACACTGTCAAAATGAATATAGTTCAGCTCTTGACCAGCGACTACATTACAATGTTGCTCACATGCATCAAAAAACATTAATCCTATAATGTACTGTGAGATGTACATGTTTACTTTTGTTACTCTAGAGTATTTTACTGGCAATTCTTTTGTACTTAAGTAAACTTTTGATTGTAATTTAGTAGTTTAACATTTATTTTACTGAAGTAAATTCTCTCAACATTTTCAGTGCTAAATTGCTTTGAAATATACTTACATAAGTTCTGTACTCGGGCACAGTTTTGAGGTACTTGTATTTGAGGTTTTTCTTTATTTGTTTATAAAACATTATAGGTCTACTCCACTACATAGGGAGAAATGTTGTATATTTTGTTGTGCTGCAGTTGTATGTTAGCTGAAGTTACTGGTTACTTTTTATGCAAATTAATGTGATTAGTGTAGAAACTATGCATCCTTTCAGATTAAAAAAGCCATAGTAATTAGCTTTACATTGACAGCTTTAATGCCGTTTACATGTGCATATTAATAAATCTGTAATAATATTCCAACTATAGTAGCACTGTACTTTAACTTCTGATACTTTGAGCACACTGCTAGTACTTAGTAATTTTACTGAAGTAAGACTTGGAATGGAGGTGTTTTGAAAGATATTCTTCTGCTTTCACCACTGAAAATTTCCATCATTGCCATACAGCATGTAGTAACTGATTAATGACCGCTTTTGCCAGAGAGCCTGATTTCTGCCATATACAAAATGGCCAGTGATGAAAAGGCCGACCAGTGTTGTAGCAGATTGTCCCAACAACTCAGTAAGTGAAAGTTGTTTATAAAAAAAAAAAGAAGTCACCACTAACACTAATCTCAGACAGGAATAACAGACTGAAGGAGTTTCTTTTTGTTAAAGTGCTGCCAATGTACTTTGTGCATGGTATGTGTTGACACGTTCCATAAAAAGAGAAGTGGCCTCATACTCAGCTGTCCCCCCGGGTCAACCATCATCACCCGCATGGTGACCCCGTTATATAGCGAGGCTATTGATAACTCCAAAACTCTGCACTCTGGCCTTCACAAGTAGAAATTAATCAACCCGAGTGAGCTGTTTCCTCACAAGTGGGAGCATGACTCTGAGAAGCCCATTTCTAAAGATGGTGGTGCCACAAACTGTGTGATGTATTTAATTCCCTTTTTTGTTTTTGCCCCAGTCACTCTGCTGACAGCTGAGAAGGCAAGTGGCACCACTGTGACTGTGGCTTAATTTGTTCTTACAGATAACTGCTGATCTCTGATGATGATGGTATTACAGATTTCCACTTAGTGAGAAAATCCTATTAAAATACACAACCTAAAGAAATAAGTCAAGTTGGACAGTTTAGGAAGCAATGGATGTTTCACATTAGTCATTTCACCGTATGCAATCCTTTCATTTCAGTTTTGTAAATCACATTTTGGATGTGCTGAGAAATTTTGTAAACATTTCTCAATTACATAAACTGTTTGACTTATAAGTATTTAAAAAGAATTAATTTACATAACATGTTTGGCAAAGAGTAGTAAACATCACAAAATAAAGTGTGCAATTCAGTTTATTATATTGTGAATTATTGTTTGTTTTGTAACTGAAGCAACCATTTCATCACTAAATTAAATGTTCTCTATTAAATAAACACTGCTGATTTAATATTTATTAAATGCAACATTTTCCATTTATTAGTATAACATCTCAATAACAGCTGAAGAAGAGCCATAAATCCTCTAATCCATTTGATTTAGACAAAAACATGATGTTTTTGTTCATACTGTATCTGATAGCAAATAACAGAACATTATACACCGATCTGACCACTGACAAGTGAAGTGAATAACACTGATTATCTTGTTACAATGGCACCTATCAGTGTGTGGGGTATTAGGCAGCAAGTGGACACTCGGGCCTTGAAGTTGATGTGTTGGAAGCAGGAAAAACAGGTATGTTTAAGGATGTGAGTGACTTTGACACAGACCAGACTGTGATGCTGCAGACTGGGTCAGAGCATCTCCCAGACTGCAGGTCTTGGTGGGTGTTCCTGGTCTGCAGTGGTTAGAGCCTATCCTGGCCAGCAATCAGGCGAAGGCAGGGTACACCCTGGACAGGTCACCAATCCATCGCAGGGCTAACACATAGACAAACAACCACACACACACACACTCCTATGGGCAATCTAGAGACACCAATCAACCTAAGCTGCATGTCTTTGGACTGTGGGAGGAAGCCGGAGTACCTGGAGAGAACCCACACATGCACGGGGAGAACATGCAAACTCCACACAGAAAGGTCCCGGGTGGGGCCGTGTATCAGTCTCCTATTAAGAGAAACATTCAGTGGCTATAGTGGTGATAAGACCTAGAGAGGGGAGGTTGTTCTCTCTAACTCCTCACGACCACTGATATCAATCCTTTTACAGAGGGTTTTCACTGAATGGTTGACACATCTGTGCTCTTCCTAACAGTAGAACTACAGAACCACACGGATTCATAGAAGATGCACAGTGAGCTGCAGAGTGACACTAGTGCCAACCAATGACTGCATTGACTACTGTGTACACAGTGTTAGACATGTGGTCATAATGTTATGGCTGATCGCTGTATCTTACAATGCCCACAATTTCAACGCCCTTTTCTTACACAATCTGATCATTTTTAACAACATGTGACAAAAAGTCACAAAATCCATGGCAATGAAAGGCTACAATATGGTCAGTTGGAATATTGATTCATAAAACGTTACTTAATTGATTTTTATTTGGCTTAACATCAAACTATTATATTTTGTAAGTACAGTGGAGTGTTGTTCTATTCAGGGATTTAGTTCATGGCAGAGGTTTTATGAATAAATATTGTAATTCCTGTGTGAATGCTTGGAAATGTCATCTAAAGCCTGGTGCATTCTCTTGTGAAACATGTCTGACCATAGTGGCACCACTGGATAAATCATCATCATTATATTATATGCATCTTCTTCACTAGTTAAATAAAAGTTATTACCACTTTAATGTCGCTTTGTGCAGGAATGAAACCTCCATATTTTATTAGTACGAGCGGAGTTTTTGTTGGATCCAGGCGCCCAGAGTCAAATCGCCAGCATTATGCAGATGCTTACTGCAGGCCTTCCCCACCAAAAAGACCACCTCTGCAATGTTGAGCAGAATACAAACCCCTGACACAGTCAGCATGAACACTGTGAAGACAGTCTTCTCTGTGGGTCTTGACACGAAGCAGTCCACTGTGTTGGGGCAGGGGTAGGAGTCACACTTCACCAACCGGATCATCTTGTAACCAGGGTAGATCATATAAAACACATACATAAAGGTGACCTCAAAGACAATTCGGAACATCAGACTGATGACGTATGTCCACCAGAGAGCCCCAGTAATTTTCATCTTCTGAGTCTTTATCTGCTCCAGGTCTTTGGGGTTGGACCGCCCTGACATTCTGTAAAGTCTCTTGTCGATGTGACGGCGGTGGGCCACGTGCATGGCTACCAGCAGGGCAGGTGTGGACACCAGGATGAGCTGGAGCGCCCACAGGCGGATATGGGAGATGGGGAAGAAGTGGTCATAGCAGACGCTGTTGCACCCTGGCTGCTGGGTGTTGCAGGTGAACTCAGACTTCTCATCGCCCCACACGCTCTCGGCTGCAACTACTAGGACCAGGATGCGGAAAATGAACAGAACAGAGATCCAAATACGGCCAATGCCAGTGGAGTGTCTGTTCACACCACTGATGACAGCATAAAATAATGTCCAGTTCATCTTTGTTTTGGAGTCTGGTGGAAAAAAGCATATAAAGTATCAAAGGACCAACAGCTGAGAGAATATTGCACTGAATATTAAGAGCATCATTCAGCACAAGACAAAACAAACCTGCAGTAGGGGCAATAGCAACTTTTGGGCTCCGAATATTTTGTGATAATAATAAAGCACCTCTTTGCCCATCTAGCAGTACTTTCGGTTAAAAGGCAAACAAACAAAAAGCTAACGAAAGTTATATAATTAATGTAACAGATGAACAGCGATGGATCTTCATAACCATTTGAGTGCACACAGAATGTGTCACATTTCCATCATTGATGTGAGATTGGTTTGCCTGTGAAGACGTCTCACTCTGTTGGAGTTGTTGGAACTACACAGAAGCACAAAGTTTGAAATATCCAATAAATTTCGTTCCACTTCATGATTGTGTCCCACTTGTTGTTGATTCTTCACAAAAAATTACAGTTTTATATCTTTATGTTTGAAGCCTGAAATGTGGCAAAAGGTCGCAAAGTTCAAGGGGGCCGAATACTTTCGCAAGGCACTGTAACAGATGAACAGCGATGGATCTTCATAACCATTTGAGTGCACACAGAATGTGTCACATTTCCATCATTGATGTGAGATTGGTTTGCCTGTGAAGACGTCTCACTCTGTTGGAGTTGTTGGAACTACACAGAAGCACACGGTTCACTCTGATTAGTCAGTGGTGTTACAGAGTGATGCTTCTCCATCTCATAAATTATCTTTGGCTAACAGGGACTATTACTATAAAAGTATTACACTGACTTTATGGGTCTTTAAAAATGATGGCTTATAATTACTCACTGCTATAGTTTGACTAAAGTACACTGGAAGCTGGTCCCTTAGTCACGGCAGATTTTTAACTGAGTAACTTAATTTAAATAAAGTAGATGATGAATACATTTCTGAACCAGTAAAAAAATGATGATGTTGGAATTATTGTTTCACAAATTTTTATGCAGAAATATTAAAACTTTCTGTGACTCCAGTTTTTCACTCTGAGAATATGCAGATTTTCTTGTGTGATATAAACTGATTAAAAAAACACCTGGGAGACAATCTTAGACATTAGGGTTTCTACATTTAAACAATTAATGAAATAATTGAAAATAACCTGCAGATGAACTGATAATGAAAATAACTTAGTTGCAGCCCTAGTACATGGAGTGCATTGCAGAACAAATGTCACTCTTGCCTTGTACTGAAGATGTTGCAGATTTAGCTGTCTGTTGTCTATTGGACTTGTTACTGTAGGTGATGATGACCTAAGACTTAATAAAACAAATTACTGTAAAATAAACTGGAAATATTTTCAAATATTCAGAAGCAAACTTCCAAATGCAATTTCAGCGAATTGTTAGCTCTTACATATCAGTTTGCATCACACTGTGCCTTTATGGGACAACTGTACACTCAGCAGTGAAATTAACTGTGCAATCACACTTCTAATTGCCTGCTTAGTGAATTATTATTTTCCCAAGTATTAAACATGTTTCATCTCCTTCATGCTGTAAGGAGACGAGGTGTAAGAGGCATAGGAGGCCAACGTGGAGGACAATGCAGATCTGCTTTGTTGGCATAGATGTGAATCCAGAGAAGAAGGAAGCCTCTCTGCCTCCTACTGCAGTTGGCAGGCCACTTACAGTAAAAGTGCAACACTGAAGTCTGGTACCATATGCCATGTGACATGCTTTCATCAGCAGCCATGGTGTAGCATACAAAGTGGAATGTGTTCCCAGTGTAACAGTGACTGTAATACACTGATTCTGGGCAGGAAAATGTTTTGTGTACCTAAACTGTGCAGTTATGCATCAGAAGACAACTCTCCTAGTTCAGACAGTGTGACCAGCTTTTGTTTGATTATCAACATAAGAAAGGCAACATTTTGTAAATATAATTTCTAGAAAAATATATTTGCTGTAGAGTTTCTGTTTTTGAGAAAGTTTAAAGAAGTTCCCAAACTCTTCAGTGTCAATTTAAGATATATCAGAAAAGCATATACTTCTCATAAACAGCAAATAACTCAACTGAGCACAGCAAAAACAAACAGTACAATATTTCTTCAGCTACATGATCTCATAACACAGCGAGAAATGAAATCACCTTACCTGCAGCTGTACTTGGCAATAAAGCACATACAGAAACGTTAACATTGACATTAGCAGATTTTTTTTCAGTCTGTGACCGTGAACAGGAGCATGAGTGCACTATGTCTTTGCATTGCTAATGATTTCTTTCACACTAGCCACTGCCCTGCACTGGAGAGGTCATATGCTTCTGGGCGCAATATTTGCATACAATAGCCCCATTTACTGAGACCAAACAAACAGCTTCAGAGCTCACATTAAACATTTTCATTTCTGCCCAGCTGAGGAATCTGTGTGGGGAATGTGGTCTGTCCTCTTGTCCATATTGGGCTGTGTTCTACAGAGGTGTGGAGGATGCTGTTGACGCAATATGGAGTAACACATGACAGCCTAAAACCAGGAATGACCCATGAAATCTAAAGATAAGAGGACAAGAATTTATTATTTTCTGTGTTTCATCCAGTTTTGTCCAGGTTTTGCATTTATATGGTTGTTGCCCACCTTAATATTAAAGTCCTGATTCAACCAATGAATGAATCAGCTCACTCTGCACCTGGTGGGATCAAGCACAGTTTGACATATTTTTACAAAGTGGGATTAACTGCTGTCTACAGCTCACAGTTTGGTGCACTGAGATGTTCAAGCCACAGATGTGTTGAAACACTTCCATCAAAACCATTTTAATTCTGCTCGGTTCTTTTGTCTGAAGGCCCCAAGAAGTAACACTCAGGATACAGGAATCAGCTTCAAGTA